CAACCGTCGATTCTGGAAAAACGGTTGCAGCTATCAAAGAATCGAGGCCGGAAGTGAGTTCTAGAGCTCGAAATCTACAAGAAAATGTACTCAGTTAGGTTTCGAAAATGTCAAAATTTGGCCGAAATTTGAAGAAGGGGGGACCATTGGAAAATTTTCACTTTTGAAAAAGTCGTTTAAAAATTCTGAAAAAATTCAGGGACGTAGATCTCGACGTGCCGATTCCAAAAATATAGGCTGTTGACGGTCGCGGAGCGACATTTTCAAAAAAATCGGTACGAAATGCCTAATTTATGGAATTTTCAAAAATTTCGATATTTCAACCGTCGATTCTGGAAAAACGGTTGCAGCTATCAAAGAATCGAGGCCGGAAGTGAGTTCTAGAGCTCGAAATCTACAAGAAAATGTACTCAGTTAGGTTTCGAAAATGTCAAAATTTGGCCGAAATTTGAAGAAGGGGGGACCATTGGAAAATTTTCACTTTTGAAAAAGTCGTTTAAAAATTCTGAAAAAATTCAGGGACGTAGATCTCGACGTGCCGATTCCAAAAATATAGGCTGTTGATGGTCGCGGAGCGACATTTTCGAAAAAATCGGCACGAAATGCCTAATTTATCGAATTTTCAAAAGTTTCGATATTTCAACCGTCGATTCTGGAAAAACGGTTGCAGCTATCAAAGAATCGAGGCCGGAAGTGAGTTCTAGAGCTCGAAATCTACAAGAAAATGTACTCAGTTAGGTTTCGAAAATGTCAAAATTTGGCCGAAATTTGAAGAAGGGGGGACCATTGGAAAATTTTCACTTTTGAAAAAATCGTTTAAAAATTCTGAAAAAATTCAGGGACGTAGATCTCGACGTGCTGATTCCAAAAATATAGGCTGTTGATGGCCGCGGAGCAACATTTTCGAAAAAATCGGTACGAAATGCCTAATTTATCGAATTTTCAAAAATTTCGGTATTTCAACCGTCGATTCTGGAAAAACGGTTGCAGCCATCAAAGAATCGAGGCCGGAAGTGAGTTCTAGAGCTCGAAATCTACAAGAAAATGTACTCAGTTAGGTTTCGAAAATGTCAAAATTTGGCCGAAATTTGAAGAAGGGGGGACCATTGGAAAATTTTCACTTTTGAAAAAGTCGTTTAAAAATTCTGAAAAAATTCAGGAACGTAGATCTCGACGTGCCGATTCCAAAAATATAGGCTGTTGATGGTCGCGGAGCGACATTTTCGAAAAAATCGGCACGAAATGCCTAATTTATCGAATTTTCAAAAATTTCGATATTTCAACCGTCGATTCTGGAAAAACTGTTGCAGCTATCAAAGAATCGAGGCCGGAAGTGAGTTCTAGAGCTCGAAATCCACAAGGAAATGTACTCAGTTAGGTTTCGAAAATGTCAAAATTTGGCCGAAATTTGAAGAAGGGGGGACCATTGGAAAATTTTCACTTTTGAAAAAATCGTTTAAAAATTCTGAAAAAATTCAGGGACGTAGATCTCGACGTGCTGATTCCAAAAATATAGGCTGTTGATGGTCGCGGAGCGACATTTTCGAAAAAATCGGCACGAAATGCCTAATTTATCGAATTTTCAAAAATTTCGATATTTCAACCGTCGATTCTGGAAAAACTGTTGCAGCTATCAAAGAATCGAGGCCGGAAGTGAGTTCTAGAGCTCGAAATCTACAAGAAAATGTGTTTAGTTAAGTTTCGAAAATGTCAAAATTTGGCCGAAATTTGAAGAAAGGGGGACCATTGGAAAATTTTCACTTTTAAAAAAAGTTGTCTAAAAATTGCGAAAAAAGTCGGGGACGTAGATCTCGACATGCTGATTCTAAAAATATAGCGTGTTGATGGTCACGGAGCAACATTTTCGAAAGAATCGGCACGAAATGCGAATTTTTGACAATTTCTAATAATTTCGATATTTCAACGGTCGATTCCGGAAAAACGATTGCAGTTATCAAAGAAACGAGGCCGGAAGTGAGTTCTAGAGCTCGAAATCTACAAGAAAATGTGTTTAGTTAAGTTTCGAAAATGTCAAAACTTGGCCGAAATTTGAAGAAGGGGGGACCATTGGAAAATTTTCACTTTTGAAAAAGTTGTCTGAAAATTGCGAAAAAATTCAGGGACGTAGATCTCGACATGCTGATTCTAAAAATATAGCGTGTTGATGGTCACGGAGCAACATTTTCGAAAGAATCGGCACGAAATGCGAATTTTTGACGATTTCTAAAAATTTCGATATTTCAACGGTCGATTCCGGAAAAACGGTCGCAGCTATCAAGGAAACGAGGCCGGAAGTGAGTTCTAGAGCTCGAAATCTATAAGAAAATGTGTTTGTTTAAGTTTCGAAAATGTCAAAATTTGGCCGAAATTTGAAGAAGGGGGGACCATTGGAAAATTTTCACTTTTAAAAAAGTTGTCTAAAAATTGCGAAAAAATTCAGGGACGTAGATCTCGACATGCTGATTCTAAAAATATAGCGTGTTGATGGTCACGGAGCAACATTTTCGAAAGAATCGGCACGAAATGCGAATTTTTGACAATTTCTAAAAATTTCGATATTTCAACGGTCGATTCCGGAAAAACGGTTGCAGCTATCAAGGAAACGGGGCCGGAAGTGAGTTCTAGAGCTCGAAATCCACAAGAAAATGTGTTTAGTTAAGTTTCGAAAATGTCAAAATTTGGCCTAAATTTGAAGAAGGGGGGATCATTGGAAAATTTTCACTTTTAAAAAAGTTGTCTAAAAATTGCGAAAAAATTCAGGGACGTAGATCTCGACATGCTGATTCTAAAAATATAGCGTGTTGATGGTCACGGAGCAACATTTTCGAAAGAATCGGTACGAAATGCGACTTTTTGACAATTTCTAAAAATTTCGATATTTCAACAGTCGATTTCGGCAAAACGACTGAAGCAATCAAAGAAACGATGCCGCAAGTGAGTTCTAGAGCTCGAAATCTACAAGAAAATGTGTTTAGTTAAGTTTCGAAAATGTCAAAATTTGGCCGAAATTTGAAGAAGGGGGGACCATTGAAAATTTTTCACTTTTAAAAAGGTTGTCTAAAAATTGTGAAAAAATTCAGGGACGTAGATCTCGACATGCTGATTCTAAAAATATAGCGTGTTGATGGTCACGGAGCAACATTTTCGAAAGAATGGGTACCAAATGCGAATTTTTGACAATTTCTAAAAATTTCGATATTTCAACGGTCGATTCCGGAAAAACGCTTGCAGCTATCAAGGAAACGAGGCCGGAAGTGAGTTCTAGAGCTCGAAATCAACAAGAAAATGTGTTTAGTTAAGTTTCGAAAATGTCAAAATTTGACCGAAATTTGAAGAAGGGGCGACCATTGGAAAATTTTCACTTTTAAAAAAGTTATCTAAAAATTGCGAAAAAATTCAGAGACGTAGATCTCGACATGCTGATTCTAAAAATATAGCGTGTTAATGGTCACGGAGCAACATTTTCGAAAGAATCGATACGAAATGCGAATTTTTGACAATTTCTAAAAATTTCGATATTTCAACGGTCGATTCCGGAAAAACGGTTGCAGCTATCAAGGAAACGAGGCCGGAAGTGAGTTCTAGAGCTCGAAATCTACAAGAAAATGTGTTTAGTTAAGTTTCGAAGATGTCAAAATTTGGCCGAAATTTGAAGAAAATTTTCGCTTTTAAAAAAGTTATCTAAAAATTGCGAAAAAATTCAGGGACGTAGATCTCGACATGCTGATTCTAAAAATATAGCGTGTTGATGGTCACGGAGCAACATTTTCGAAAGAATCGGTACGAAATTCGAATTTTCGACAATTTCTAAAAATTTCGATATCTCAACGGTCGACTCAGGTAAAACGGTTGCAGCTATCAAGGAAACGAGGGCGGAAGTGAGTTCTAGAGCTCGAAATCCACAAGAAAATGTGTTTAGTTAAGTTTCGAAAATGTCAAAATTTGGCCGAATTTTGAAGAAGGGGGGACCATTGGAAAATTTTCACTTTTAAAAAAGTTGTCTAAAAATTGCGAAAAAATTCAGCGACGTAGACCTCGACATGCTGATTCTAAAAATATAGCGTGTTAATGGTCACGGAGCAACATTTTCGAAAGAATCGGTAGGAAATGCGAATTTTTGACAATTTCTAAAAATTTCGATATTTCAACGGTCGATTCCGGAAAAACGGTTGCAGTTATCAAAGAAACGAGGCCGGAAGTGAGTTCTAGAGCTCGAAATCTACAAGAAAATGTGTTTAGTTAAGTTTCGAAAATGTCAAAATTTGGCCGAAATTTGAAGAAGGGGACCATTGGAAAATTTTCACTTTTAAAAAAGTTGTCTAAAAATTGCGAAAAAATTCAGGGACGTAGATCTCGACATGCTGATTCCAAAAATATAGCGTGTTGATGGTCACGGAGCAACATTTTCGAAAGAATCGGTACGAAATGCGAATTTTTGACAATTTCTAAAAATTTCGATATTTCAACGGTCGATTTCGGCAAAACGACTGAAGTAATCAAAGAAACGATGCCGAAAGTGAGTTCTAGAGCTCGAAATCTACAAGAAAATGTGTTTAGTTAAGTTAAGTTACCGATTCTAAAAATATAGCGTGTTGATGGTCACGGAGCAACATTTTCGAAAGAATCGGTACGAAATGCGAATTTTTGACAATTTCTAAAAATTTCGATATTTCGACGGTCGATTCCGGAAAAACGGTTGCAGCTATCAAGGAAACGAGGCCGGAAGTGAGGTCTAGAGCTCGAAATCTACAAGAAAACGTTTTTAGTTAAGTTTCGAAATTGTCAAAATTTGGACAAAATTTGAAGAAGGGAAAAATTTCACTTTTAAAAAAGTTGTCAAAAAATTCTGAAAAAATTCAGGGACGTAGATCTCGACGTGCTGATTCCAAAATAAAATCCTAAAAATTCGGGACTTGACCTGACCTAACCTGACCGAACCCCCAGTTAGTTTCCTGAAATCGTATAAGTACCGACAATAATTCTTGTCCGTCGTGTTCCAGATCGAGTACACCAACGCGAAAATCTACCCCATGGTGCTCCGCTACACGATGCTGAAGGACATGATCAAGGACATCATGCTCCACCCCGACTACATGGAGGTCTGCCACGAGGTGGACGCATAGCCCAAGTCGTTCTCCTAGGTGGGAAACCGCCGCCGGAGCCTCAGACCCTAATCTCCTCCACGCGGCACCTGGGAAACAAACGTCTTTAGCGACCTCGCTCGCCTCCTTCGACGGCTTGCTTACGACGTGCGGCCAAATCGTCGTCGCTTTTTTGTGGATTGTGACGATACTCAAAGCATCGCGTTTCGACCAACTCCGAGGCGCTTTTTTCTGTTGGCGGCGGACAATACGGAAGTGCTGATCAAAAGGGGCTCAAATTCACTGCCACTAGTCGGGAATCCGTGTCGAACAGTAGCGATGATTTTTTTCGTTCGGGAGGGCGCTTTGTGCGGGCAATTAAATTATTTGGGATCATCATGAACTGTTTTCTCATTAAGTAACTCGGAAACGGCGCGTTTCTGTAACGAATGCCCCAAGACTGAAGTATTTAATTAGAGACCTTCGTCAAATATTACCACCTTTGATCTCGTTCTTTATTTTAGGAGAAATCGATGACCGAGGGCACTCGCCAATTAAACAAGCGGCAGTAATGACGTTTGGCGCGTAGGTGCATTTTGAGCAGGGGACTCTTTTGGCTGCAAATTTTGACGCAGAGGGCTATTTTAGGTGATGCGGTGAGAGTGGAAGTCTGTGTAGAAAACGCCACTATCAGATAAATGGATAAACATAGTATAAACATTTATAGTTGTTTTTTTTTTTCAATTTAATTCGGACACTTTTAGTGTTGAAGACAGTGCTGCAAATGCCGTGTACATGCCATTACTATATGAAATTTTGTCCAGGAAAGGTTAATAACCAGGAGCTTAAAAGCTTTTATCACCCAAGCTGTAAAATTTTTATAACGAATCATTATTTACTTGGTGTTTGTTCGGCACATCCTGATTTACGTCTTCGTCCTTCAAAGCTTCGATTTAATTTCCTTTCTGGACACAAAAGTCGTTTTGTATAGATTAACTACGCATGTACGAGACGTACGACTATGTGGCAAACATATTCGCGTTTTATAAATAATAATAACAATAATAGTAATAATAATCAAAAAAGATGGTATCTGCTATCAAATTTGATATTTTATGGTTTTGGGAGAAAAGTTTTAAAGTAAAAAATGTTGTGTTTTAAGGACTATATTTCTATTAGGTTGGTAAGAAAAATAGAACGCTTGAAAATTTCAAAATTCTAAATACCCTAAAATAAAAGTTATATACAGGGTCGCTAGAATGTATGGAAACGGTTAAATATCTTGAGAACCAACTGTAAAAATTAACTGAAATTAGGTTTTTTTTGCTTCATTTGTTTTCGAGATGCTAGGCCAACTTGTTTTTTTTTTTTAAACGGCACTAAAATATTATAATTAATGCATGCATAATGGAGCTTTTTGTCTGAATTCACTGTTATAATTCTCTAAATTTAATAAGCTCTTAATTTTTTTTTTAAACAATAATTTTCGTCTTTTTTCTGCTGCAATAAATTTTCGTAATACTATTTTTTTTTAATTAATCATCGAAATGGAAGGTGGTGTGTGGGCGGGGTTTATTATATGTTCTTCTCTAGAGTGGGAGTCGTAAATAACTGACACAAATTAGGCCGTAAAAAAAGCGCCAATTGTAACTTTTTTACTGTACAAGTATTTGTTACAAGATTTAGTTCTTACTAAAAAAAACTGAGAGAACGGGTGGGTGGGCGGGGCTAAGTGTAACTTTTTCCTGGAGAGTCTTTTACAGGCAAGCAGTAGGCCCGCCCACCCACCCCCTCTTCATTCTGGGAACTATAGTGATAGTGATAGTAATATTTTATTCGCCATATTACATCTGCAAAAAATAGGATTTGTAATAAGGAAAATATAAAATACAAGTATAAATAGTCTAAATCAACCAAAATTTGGATAGTTTGTCATTAATTTTTTCTTTTAAACAATAAATTTTATCTTCTTTCTGCTGCAATAAATTTTAGTTGTACTATTTTTTTAAATTAATCACCGAAACGGAGAGGGGTGGGTGGGTGGGCGGGGTTAATTATATTTTCTTCTGCAGAGTGGGAGTAATAAGTAACTTATAGAAACTAGGGTGTAAAAAAAGCGCCAATCGTACTATTTGTTAAAACATTTATTTCTTATTTCAGAAACAAAAAATGAAAGAGCGGGTGGGTGGGCGGGGCTAAGTATAACTTTTTTGTGGAGAGTTTTTAATAGGTAAGCAGTAGGCCCGCCCACCCACCCCCTCTTCATTCTGGTGACTACTCTTAATACTATTAATTATTGACAATATTATTGTCTTGGGCAAATCTATTGAACAATTGGTGAGAAAACAGATAAATTGTTATTTTCCTTTTATAAATGATTCGATCTACACCTAGAATTTCAAGGGTTTTTTCTTCGTCTGTAGTGATAGTGCTAGTAATTATATGGTAGTGACATTTAAAAAAATCAAGTTGGCCGTGCATCTCGAAAACAAACGAAGCAAAAAAAAATCTTGTACCCTAATTTCAGTTGATTTGTACAATTGGTTATCATGATATTTAACCGTTTCTATACCTTCTAGCGACCCTGTATATACCGGGTGTCTGGAAAATGGTGGATTAATTTTTCAGTACGTTATGTACGGGAGTCCCAAAAAATAATAAAAAATTCTCTATGATGTAGATTACGAAAAAAACGTAATTTTATGAAAATAAAATAAGTAAGCCTGTAATGTTTCCAAATTTTGACCATGTTTTGTAAAAATTAATTTTCATTACTTGCTAAAATAAAACTGATTTTGGCAGTGACAAAAGAAAAGAGAGGGTGGGTGGGCGGGGCTAGTACCTGTCAAGATAAAACTGATTTTGGTAAATGAGATATTCTCTAAGAGAAGAGAGGGCGGGTGGGCGGGGTTAGAAGCTACTAAGGTAAAACTTTTATTTGCAATTTATCCAGTTTCAAGTTTAAATTTTTCAATTTTCCAACTTTTGAATTTTTCAGTTTTTCGATTTGCAATTTTTCGTTTCGGTTTTTTATTTTTCTTTTTTTTACAATTTTTCCATGCTTCAATGTTCCAATTTTATAATTTTATGTTTTTTTGATTTCAATTTTTCGTTACTTCAAATTACAATATGCAACTCTTTGTATAATAACTATGCAGACGAACGTATAGTTAACCCCGCCCACCCACCTCGCCTGCATTTCAGTAATTCATTGTATCTGATCGGAATTAAAGATGGATCTGACACTGAACAGAAATAATTCCGTTAGAATAAGCTAAGATAAGACGGATTTTACCAAATGACATATCCTTGTTAAGATAAGACTGATTTTGGCAGATAACATACCCTCTAAGAAAAGGGAGGGCGGGTGGGCGGGGCTAATACCTGATAAATTAGAACTGATTTTGGCAAATGACATACCCTCTAAGAAAAGAGAGGGTGGGTGGGCGGGGCTAGTACCTGTCAAGATAAAAATGATTTTGGCAAATGATGTATTCTCTAAGAAATTTAATGAAATTATTATAAAAAAAACAGTCGAGGCTCCAAAGCTCTTTCAAATTCTTTCCAAACAGTAATACCTAGAACCGCAAGATTGTTTTAAATTTTTCAAAAAAAAGCGGCGCCCCAAAATTAACTCAAAAACGGGTCAAGTCAGAATTTTCCCAAAAAAGTCCTCCAAAATGTTTTCTATTAATTTACAAAAAAATGTCCATGGGTACCCAAGAGTCTCCCGAATAAAAAAAAAACACTGCGGAACTCAAGACTTTCTCAAATTAAAATATTTTGGATTTAAAAAAAAGCATCAACATCTTTCAAAATTCCCCCTAAAACGTGGCCCAGGAACCCTCAAGGTTCTTTTAAAATGCTTTTAGATGTCTTCAAGAACTTTTCAAATTAAAAAAAAAGTCACAGGTCTTTGTTTAAATTCCTTAAAAAAACGTCACGATGAGATAAATTTCTTTAAAAAGGACACTAGAAACCCATAAAAATTCTTAAATTACTTAAAAAATAGGTTAGGCCTCAAAAATATTAAAAAACTTAAAAAAAACCCAAAGGCTTCGTAAGATTCTTTTCGATTTTTTCAAAAAAAGTCAGGACATCAAGATCCATTAAAATTCTGCAAAAAATGAGGCAGCAGGGATTCTTAGTTATTTTAAAAATGATTGAAAAAGCGATATAGGGGCCCTCATGAAACCTTTAAATCCCTTAAAAAAATACTGGGAAATATTTAAAATCGTTAAAATGTTTAAAAAACTAGAGTAGGGTCCGGAAAATTCTTCACTAAGAATATTAATAAAAACAAACTTTAAAAAAAGTCCCAAAATTCTTTAAGATACTTTGAAAGAAAGGCATCAAGATCCTTTCTAATTCTGCGAGAAAGAACACCACCATTTCCTTAAAAAAAATGACGCCAAGTTATTTAAAACAGTTAAAATCGGACAAAGGATCCCAAGAATCTTTTCAATTTTTCAAAAAAAAAAAGACAGGGACGTCAAGATCTTTTCAAAAACGAAACACCTCTGACCCCCAAGCTTCTTTTAAATTGCTTCAAGAAGATACTAGGACTCCTGAAAATTCTTCTAAACTCCTTAAAAAAAGTAGAACAAAATATGAGAAAGATTTTTTTTACTATTTTTCCCAGACTCACCAGTTGATTGTTAAGAGCGTAGCGGAGAGGTAATCCATTTTCCAGACCCCCGATATACAGGCTGATTCGGCCTAAATGACGATTTGATTTGTGATTAGAGGCAACCCGAAATTCATTTATTCCTTCATTCGAACTAGAATTTCAAAAATATCACCAATCTACGAGGTCTCAGAAATTCATCGTGGATTTTCTTCTATAAATTAAAGTAGAACACACAAGGAATACAAGATTAGTGTATTTTGGGTTGCCTATCAGGACAGGTCAAATTGGTCTTTTACACTGAATTGCCTAATGTAATTTACGTATTTGTACTTAATCCATAACCTACTCCATATATAAAGCAAAAAATTCTTAACGTACCCAGGCTTAAATAAAATTCAACCGTGCCTGAAACAATAGTTGTTAACGATATTTTATAAGCATTTTTCCTAAAATAAACATAAATGCATATTAATATACGACCACGACATATTTTATGACCTGCTGCTAAGTTTATTTTAATTCATACAAATTTTGTAACGTAAATTTTTTAAAAGGGAGTTGAAGAAAATATGTATATTTTTTAAACATAACTATAATATTTCTATTAGGTTAGCACTAATATCAAACCGGAGAAATTTTCAAAACCTGACCACCCTAAAACAGTATAAAAAGCTTTAACTTCGTATCAAGATTTACAATTCACCCTTGACTGAAAATCTAATCGCACACTATACTAAATTGCAATTTTTTTGTTCTTATATGACCAAGGCCCTCGAAAAATGCCACCAAGTTGACTTTAATTGCACACAAATGAACCTTTTTTTAAACCAGGATTGTCTGTCTAGCAGCAAAAAACAAAACCTTGCACTCCTTTCCCGCACCGAAATGGAAATTTTGCAGATTGCGCGATTCCAGCCGTGCGATAACCAAAACTCCGCGTAAGACAAAAGTCGAAATTCATACTTTATTTTTTTGCGCACAATTTCCGTCTTTTTCCCACATATCTCGCTCGTAATCAGCACACAACATATCTCAAACAAAGATCGGAACAACCGATGTGCTCAACCGAACGAACTCAAACACATTTCCTTTAAATATTCCAGTTCGCAACGTCGCGGAAATTGAGCTTGCTATCTCTAGTTAGCTAAATACGGCATTAATCCTAATATATTAGACGAAAACTTCGAGCGGATTAACGAAACCATTAATAAAAATTTACTGTTCCACACCTAATCCCTAAGTATTAGTAATGTACTTATAAAATAAGCGTGCCAGATTGCATTTAATGTGTACCATATTCGGATTGATGTGATGTGTTCTTGTAAATTTTGTAGTCCCCCAGCCTGTCCCACCCCGACTTCTAGATAGGTATTTGTTATGTAGACAGAGTAGATAGGTATGATAAGATCGTCTAAAACACCAAATTCGTTAAGATTGTTTTAGGGGTTAGAGTTGATTTGGTTATGTTTTCGTTTGACTTTACTGATGTCGGACGACATTACCGATTAGTAATAGCTTTAAAAATGTATTCGACTAGTTTAGTCATGTTCGTTATCCTGTGCTTAAGCTTCGATTCTTTCGATTGTTCGTTCGCATTGTGGTTTGACGTGTGAACAAACAATAACGTTAATTTTAGTCCTACCACCGGTAGATCGCCTCTAATAAGTGTCTAATAGTACTAACATAGGCGGCACTTTCGCAGATGTGTCTCTCAGCTTCGCAGTTGTTGAAACGTAGAAGTAGTCGTTGAAGTTGCAACCGAACGCTTACTTCTTGTCTTGTTATTTTCGAGAGTACAAATTTGTCTGTACGGAACACATCTGACGCACCCTCTGTTTCGCCTATGGAATTAAATGTGTACGTTGTTAAGATAAGAAGATGGTTGTTTATATGTGATGATGTATGTGTAAACTAACAAATATATGAGGATAACCATTCCATGTTAAAATGTTACAGGGTTCGTTGA